AAGAGGAAAATCTTCAAGGTTCTTACCATTAAATATTTTATCTGTAGGCCTTTAATAGATATATCCTTTTTATTATTATTATTTTATCAAGTTGAGAAAGCTTCCTTGTTTTCTCAGCCACTTTTTAAAAATCTTATCTCTAATTCTTCCATGTGCCACAATCCAGCTCTTTCTCCACAACTCTAGCAAAACTGATCCTGGCACTATGATCTCTCAGTGACAGATAATCAACATAAACATTTATCTTGGTCAACTTCTCCATTGTATTTGACACTGCTGATAATACATTCCTTGACACACGATTTGCCTCTCGTTTTGGGGGGGCAACATTTTTTTGTCTTTTTGACCACTCCTTCTCAGAGTCCTTTATAGATTTAACTTTTGCTACCTACTGCTCAAATATTGATGAACTTTCATCAGTTTCCAACCTTTGGTCTTTTAAAGAAAAATTATTCTCCGTGTGGCTGATTCATATAGTCCCTGACTGTCAATAACTATCTGTATAATTATAACTTATAAAGCTATGCCTGATTTCTTAGCTAGTAGCTAGCAAATTCCTCCAATTCTAAAAGTACAAATCCTCTATATGTCTTAGTATAAAGTCCCAATTCCTTAAAACATGCAGAATCTGCCACGTCTCCAAATTTATTGGGCTACAATGTGTCTTCCTTTTAAGCTCTAGCCACAATGAATTTCTGGCAGCTCATGGAATCATAACTTTTCTTATCTTTGATCTTTTCTAAAAATTATTTCCAATGTTTGAATACTTTTGGCTCTCTGCTTGCTAGATTGGAATTAATCTTTATAATCATGTCAAGATTTTATTTTTTCGAGTAGGCATGCATTCCCTGACATCTAGCTTATGATAAGACACCTGCTTTAAATTCTTATGACTCCACATACTTCTACTATCACAATACCCATCATATTCATCTATTTATTTATTTAAGTGCTTTCCTGGCTAGATGGCAATTTCTGTAAATTTGTTTACCATTGCATTCCATCAGATATGTAACTATTACTTACCAAGTACTCAATAGGTATTTAAGAATATATGAAAACTAAGATTTTTTTTTAAGTCAATCGCTTATTTTGTTCTCTTTGGTTGCAGTAATATACTACGTATTTGAGTTGTAAATGCTTATACTTGTTATTATTTTACTGGGTTAATTTGATGGTGTATAGAAGAGAATTATGCCATAGAACTTGGACAATGTAATAATTTCCCAAAATTTCACATATGAAATCTAAACTATTCACTGGTAATAGAAATTTCTGCATGAAATAAACTTGTCAACATTTGCCTCCAAATTATACAGTGCCATCCAGGAATGTGAGCAGGCCATTGAGAAGTAATTTGGGGCTTAACCACATGGTGGTCTATCTACAAGTTCCCTGGAGAAAAAGACACCATCTAGCTCACATCTGTGCAAACATTGGTTAACCTGGCTGATGTCTTCACATCTGAGGATGTGAAGGAGTTTTGTGTTTTTGTTTTTGTTTGAGTTTTTTGTTTTGTTTTGTTTTTTCTTTCCTTTGATCAGGGAGATGTTTTCCTATTGCCTTTTGCAGCTCTCAGACGTGAGTTGTAATAACTCTAAGAGGCTGAGAAGATTGAATTGTGGAGGTATGTCTGTATAGGGAGATGTGTGTGCGAAAGAGAAACAGAGAGATAGGGAAGGAGAGACAGAGGTAAAAGATGGATACTGGAGTGTATAGACAGACTAAGAATTAAATCTAATTAAAGCAATGCTGTCTAGTGAGTGAAGTTCACAAACCTGAGTGAGTCAATTTCTCGAAGCCTCCACACATAATATAGGAATGTAAGCGATATGAGGATTGATTGCAAATGCCGTATTTTGTGCTTATCTGACTCTAAATGGTTTGGGAAGGAAGAATAAAAGTACAAAATTGGATAAGAATCTTTTTGAAATAAGTAGCATCAAGAACTTAAAATAAAGTTGCTACAAAATAATGAGGTTTGAGGTAATATCAAGTAGTGATTTTTATCTCTAAGAATAGTGAATATTTGAAATTCTCCTTTCCAGATGTACTACAATGAAGACAGTATCTGTTTGATTGTAGAATATACAGAGTAAAAATAATTTTTACAATTGGAATCAAAACAAAACCAATACAGAAAAGATTTTCTTTCCTTTGGAAATTAATAATAAAGAGATTTAAAACTTCATATAATCACAAAATGTATATGGCTTAAAGTTTAGAAAAAAGCTTGGACACATCTCCATCTTTGGGGGACTAATATATAAGCTGATGACACCTCAAATCTCTGTCTTTTAATATATTACATCAAAATACCTACAACTTTCCTGTGTGTAGGGAGGGAGTGGGTTGTATAAAATTCTAGTATACTCTATGCTTTCTGCACTGATGCTGTTTAAAGCTATAGAAACAACAACAGAAATGTCCCACCAAAGTAATCAATTTTTTCAAACTAAAAATGCAGGATGGTCTTTAATGATCTAATGTTTCATACATTTTGTCCCAGTAAGTAGTTTCAAAAATATAAAAAAAAACCCTCAAGGAGGATAGATATTAAAAGCATTACTAATACATGTTTTTACTTAATACATATTCAGTTTCCCCTTATTATATGCATGAAAACATGGAGCTGAGAAAGAGGTAATAGAAAGGCATGTAAGGAAATACATGTCTGTTGTAAAGAGGCATCTTACCTGACAACTGTTTGATTTCCCCTTATTTTCTCACATTTTAAAAGTTATTTCAGAATATAACAAAGTTGTATCTAAGAAACTATGGATACTTTTAAAATTTAGGGCACTTGTTTTCTATTATTTCAATGTTAGACATTAAATTAGAATTGGTGTAACTAATATGCTTTGCTAAATGACAAATCAAATATAAAATAAAAAAATATATTTCTTACAATAGTTCCTAAATACATACCATGGAAGAATGAGGTTGCTTAAAACATATAATAAAATCTAGAGCTTAGATAATATATCATAACTACCATATTTCTGAATATCACAAATATTTTAATAATAGAAAGTAATGAATCTGAGCAAAATTTAATTCTATAATCATTTTATTCTCCACAGGCTCACTGAATATGACAGTGCATCTAGTTTTTAAAGTGTTATTGCCCATAGTCTCATTCTTCTGATAAAATGATAAAAACCGAATTAATTTTAAAATATGGACCAAAGAATTAAAGAATTTACTTAAGAAATCTATGAAGATACTGATTTTTTAATTATTTTAAGACATTTGCCTCCTTAATTCCAGATTTGGTTCTTAGAAATAGCAACAAGGGGCGCCTGGTGGCTCAGTTGGTTAAGCGTCCGACATTGGCTCAGGTCAGGGTCTCACAGTTTGTTAGTTTGAGTCCCCCCTCAGGCTCTGTGCTGACAGCTCGGAGCCTGGAGCCTGCTTCGGATTCTGTGTCTCCCTCTCTCTGCCCCTTTCCTGCTCATGCTCTGTCTCTCTCTGTCTCTCAGAAAATAAATAAACCTTAAAAAAAATTTTTTTTAAAGAAATAGCAACAAAAACATCACACACTACAAATGTAAGGCACCGTCATTTTCAGGTTAGTGAGCTTAAAATACAACACTAAAGTTTTATTTTATTCATTTATTCCTCTTGGGAATATTTATGAGTATAATTTTCTTCAGAGATATAGACTTTCCTGAGGATATGGCTCTCATATTAAACCCTGAAATTCACCATACATATTTGGAGACGGGGTCAAAGTGGTTAGTATAGTTTTATTTCTGTGGCACTGTATCAAACCCCTGAAATAGCAGTGAGTTAATAAAAGCCTTAGAAGAGAACTAAATTTTGAAATGAATTAAATGAACAAAGTACCTTTTTAAAATAACATAATTAATTTTTTCATATACCACACAGTGATACTAATACATATAAAAGACAAGGAAAACACATTTAACAAATAAAGCATACTAAAATCCAGTAACTAGTAGTCAAAATGGAAAGCTGACAGTTTCATTTAATGAATCTTTCATTCAATCAATAGTTATTGTGCTTTTACTATGCATAAAGGTACTAGGTTAGGTGTATCAGACACAATGATAAGTAACTCAAACTGGTCCCTTACTACAGACACTATTACTTCTCTTCTTTAAAATTATTTTTCAAAGGCCAGCAAAACCTCTGAATTTTCCAAGGTTTATGCAGGTTGACAGAAATTTAACCCAAAACACATTTAGTTTTCCTATGTTAAACAGATACGGTCTACTTTTTATTTTTCTTGGTACTGATGTGAAAAAATATAGAAAATTTTCAACCTTAATCATGATATTGCCTTTAATCAGAGAGAAAATCTCTACACAAATTTACACAGGGCTAAATTATTTAAAGTACGGCCATTTCCTTAATGGGAACAATTTGGCAATTATGGAAGTGATCCTGAATCCGTAAGTATATATGCCAATGAAGTACTTCACAGATGAAAACAAATTTGAAATATGATCAATGACTAATGAATACTTGCAAAGCAAAGTTTTAGAGAAGACTCTAAGGAACAATGCAGCTGAAATATAATCTTTCATTTATTCAGTCTTGGAAAAGTAATGATTAGAAGAGCTACAAAATACTGACAGATATTATCAGTCACTAAAATAAGTTCTATTTTATTTAGAGAGACTAATTTAAATAAATTGACTTAGGAATTATTTTTCAGTGAGAATAAACTTTTAAATGTATATCAATATTAGAGAGATAAGAAATGTATTATATTCAATTACTACTTGTAGTGACTTTGAAATATAGTGTTAAGCATGAAAACGTATTTTTAAATGATTTGCGAACACCATTAATAAAAATATAATTTAATTATAAAACATAAATTATAAAATTGAGAGTACTATAGAGGAATAAACAGATTAGCAGCATATAGCAATCTTGTATAGAATACCCATACTACACCACACCAAATTTGGCAGTCACTCATGCAAACAAAGGGGGTAACTACTGAAATGCTTAAATCTTGCACTTACCAACCTCCACAACACTAGAACAGTTGGGATCTGTGAAGCCATCTGGACACTCACAGGAAAAGGAATTGTCAGACAATCCTGGCAAACAAACACCGCCATTTTCACATGGATTGGGATCACAAATATCACCTGAGAAATAAAGAAACAGAGAATGACTTTTCACTTGCAGTCTTAGGCACTGAGATGTACTATTTCATACTCCATTTTCCTTTAGTAGAGTCACCACACTGTTTAGATTTACAGATAAGGTATGCAAGACCCCTTTGAAACCTTGTACTTTTCAAAGACATGGTATGTAACATAAAATGAAATTTTCTATTCAAACACTGCATACCAAATAGCATACAAAAAACTATTAACTCATTTTGGGGTTCCTCCATTACATGTCAATAAAATATTGTCTGATTTGTTAAAGATTAATTGAAATATGTCTAGTAGAAAGATTTATTAATTACTCCAATAAAAAAAACTTTTTAAATTAATGCACTTAACTCTGTAACTTTGCAATTTCTCTCTCTAAAGGGGTGAGGTTTATTTCTGGGCTTGTCCAGGTGACTTGCTTTGGCCAATAGGATGTTAGGAGACTTGAAGCCAGCCAAGGTTTGAAAAAGCACTTGAATCTTTCTACTTCTTCAAACCCTGTCAGGACCATGAGAATAAATTCAGGCTAGTTTGCCTGAGGTGAGAGAAACATGTAACAGTAAGAAAGAAACTGGCACAGAGAAGTAAGTTGTGCCATAACCAGAACCTATAATATATGGCATTGGCTTTGGTACTGGGTGGAAAGGCATCAAGAAAATGACTAGAGGAGCCTAGAGAAAATGTGAGGCTACCCATGCTATGTAGAGAAAATCAGTTGGTAACGTTGTTACCTGAGAAAAACTTTAGTGACAGAAATATACCTAATGACTTTTTACCTATGAATAATGAGATTTTCAGGCAGAATATTAAAGTGTCAGTTGGTTTTTAATAGCTACATTGATACAGTACTACAAGAAGAGAATGCTAAATAAAGAAATGATAAGTGTGAAAGTAAAGAAAAGGAATATAGAGAGGAGGATTTGTGATAATTAACTGACCAACCAACCAACCAATAACAACCAAAACTATCTCAATGCCAGCCTCCCAAACGAGTGAAAGATCAAACCTGGAGCTTTGTCAGAAAGACATGGCCTCAACATAAATATCAAATTAAGGATATGGCTAGAAGGCCCTTGTGAAAATATTTCAAATAATTCAGGTACAGCCTGAAGACTCTCTCAGCTAAATAAAAGGGCTTCCAGAAGTCTTAAGGGTATTATCTCTGAACAGCCTGACACGCCCAGTGTACCACTGATTAAGTCTAGAGTGAAAAGCAGGCTTCAAAGTCATGAGTGTGATTTTATTATACAGACAGGATGTAAATCAGATTCAGAGAAACCCATAGAGTTTTAAAGGGAGCTTGAAAGGGGAAAGTACCATCGCCTGATCAAGAGAAGAAGGTTTTTCAAAGTTTACAAAAGCATCTGTGTCCCAACTTCCTACCACTTTCTGTTTCTTGGGAACTTTATTCCCTTATAGGAGCCTTCCAAAGAATTATTTCCTATATTTTCTAGATGAACCATTCTAAGACTTTAGAAAAATAAAAATGGAGGGTAAGATTTTGGTCACATTTATAAAGCAAGTCATTAGCTATATTAAGATGATAGATAAAAATACTAGCACTGGGATGGCCATAAGAAACGAGAGAGTCATGAAATAAGTGAATAAATAAAAGAATAAATATGTGTTGGAAATATCATAGAATTTAGCATGGCTAGACAATGGATTACTTGGTTAGGAATGGCTGAGGAAGTATAAATATGTCAGATTAGTAAAGATTAAAAAGTTAACATCGTAACTTATAAGGTGAAGAGCCAATGAATGCTTTTAGCATGTATTTTAAAGTTTTGACATGGTCATATGTATATTTTAAGATGACTATCCTGGCAGCATTTTACAGAGTGAGTTTGATTGGGGGGCTGATTACTGAGATATTTCAATAAACTTCCTATGTCTTTATATAACTAGCTAGCCATTCTGCCGTTCCTCCATTCATCCTTCCATTTGTCCCTTTATCCCTCACCCCCACCCCCCCCCCCATTGCTTGACTACCTATTCTATGCAGGCACCAAGGTCAGTGCTGAACATACAGAAGCATACAGAAGTAAATAAAGATAGTCTCTACCATTAAGAAGTATAGAGCCTAGTATGGGAGATAAAAAAGCAAGAACAACTACCATACATAGTAAGAGCTGTAATTAGTCTACACAATCCAAAGTGTAGGATCAACAGAAACTTCTAAAAAGATTCAGTGCTGCGAGGTGAAACAACACAGGAGGAGGTACCTGCTCAACATTCTAGGCAAAGAGAATAGCATATACAAAGGAAAAAGATCATGGCTTATTCCAGGAATTTCAAGCAGGCCACAATAATTAGAGCATAGATGTATATGAGAGATAGAATGGAGCTCAGAAAGTAGCATGGTCGTGTAAATAAAGGCCTTATGTGCTGTGACAAAAAATTTGAAGATTCTCTCTAAGCACTGGAAAATCAGAAAAGGACTTTGTACATGGGAAAATATATGATCACATTTGTGTTCTGGAATGATGACTCAAACAGCATTGTATTGGATCAAATGGAAGAGTCACAGTTGAGGGCAAAAGAACTAAGCGTTAAACTCTTGAAGTAGTCCTAGCAAAAACTGATTTTCTCAACTCTCTTCAGAGATAGCTATGAACAGGGAAAGCAATGGAAGCATGATTTAATTCCAATTCAGTTAATAAATACTAGGTAATAAAACAGGAAATTAAAGTCCCCCCAAATCACTACTATTCCTCCCCCCAGATAATTAATCTAGAAACAAAGGTATTATTGTTGAGATTTTCTATAAAAAGGCAATCACCAGTTTAAAAGCGAGATCATCGCTCTCTGCCCTAGACACGAGCAAAGCAACACAGCTTTGTACCGTCAGACTAACAACACTGCCATCAGCTAACCCTGTACATTCCATGAAGTTGAGTAGTAACACCCAAACATTTTTTTGGATGAGACGTCAGTCATAATCCTGTGTATTGTCAGTACTACAAAAAGGGGAATTCTATATTCCCTAGACCAGGATCTGTTGTTGCAGCAATGTCAACAGATCAAGGCACATTGTAGATGTATATAGATTCATCTGTACTCATAGAAGCAATGTCTACAGTAGAAAGGCAAGGCATGAGTGACAACCCAAAGGTTCTCAAGCATACAGACTACACTGATACACTTTTCTAAAATCAAGTACCTTTCATTATCGCTCTCACTCCTACAACCAAATTCCTGCAACATTTATTAACTGATGTGAGCTTAACAGCCCAGATAAACTGAGCGACACACGAGGCTGGAATGTCCAGTCCCTTTGATTATCCCATCATGATGGGAAGTCTTGGTGTCCTAAGAAAATTTTCTTGGCACTTTCGATACCCTTTCTAGGTGATAATAACTTAACCTAATCGGTTTTCTACCATTTGACCAGGTGCGTCTGCCAGCCATATGACGCTTCTGTAATCAAAATCAGACAGGATGATCTGTTCATCTCTCACTAGATCTTGTAGACACCAGCTGTTGTTTAGCTGACCTGTTTATTCTCTCTTGTCCTTGTACATTTTGTTCTTTTTCACTGATGTCTACTTAATTCTAATAAATTACACTTGTGAAAGTTCATCTTATATTTTTCCCCCTTATTGATATTTACTCAGTGTGTTTTTCAAAGGTAGAAAAGAGGTAATAAATTTGACCAAAATGTATCTTGAGGTAGAATCACAATGTATCTTGAGGTAGAATCAAGATAACAATGTGATCAAACTGATGTACGGGTTGAGAGAGAGCAAGGAATCTGGGTTGATTTCTAGAGCTTTTATCTGTATGACTGAGTGGTCACCTTCATAAGGAAATATAATGGATTTAGTTTTAAAGAAATTACTGTGTTTGAGAAGTTTGCATATTCCCTCTCTCTTTCTCTCTCTCCCCCTCCCTCCCTCAAAATAAATAAATAAATTTTTAAAAGAAAAAGGGAAATTATTGCTAGGCCCTTTCCACTTCAGTATAAATATTCAGCTTATTCGCTTAGGGTCTCATATGTCAAGGTCTGCCTGAGATTTATAAAGGTCCCCACAGGTACCTGTGTTAGATGGACAATGTCAACAGAAAACAAAATTTTGGCCTTGGATAAAGTAGAGGATAGACAGCAGAAGCCCATCACACATGATTAGGATTATTACAGACTGTGTTTTAAATCTGCCTCCCCACATCTAATTATTAAGTACACCCCTGTGTCTGGTGGGTTCTCCATGAAGTAAATGCTAAGAAAAAGTTAAGAGTGCAACAAGATTAAGAAGTAATGCCTGTGAAAGAAAAATGAGGAGAAAGCAGAAATGGGCAGGAAAAGCCTTCATCCTGTGATGTGGATCTGACACTGTGAAAAGAAATGGGGAAGGGGGGTGTGCAGGGATTGACGAAGAATCAAGCAAGGGAGCCTCAGTCTGTAACGCAAACTTGATGAAGTCTTAGCCAGCCCACTAGGAAGCAAAGATTACCCTTTAGAGGAATCCTCCAAGGGCATAAATGACCAGGCACCGGTGCCCTTGCCATGTCCAATCACCGGCTGGAGGTGGCCTAGGCATAGGGTGGCTCTAAAGCTCCAGTGAGATCCTGGAAGTGCTGCAGAAGATTTGTTGGAGTTTAACACATTCCTGGCAGCTGGACAGCTTCTTTTCTTGAAGGGATGCTGCAGCAGCACACTTCCCTGGGTGCCACACTCCCCTTTCTCTCTCAGGACCGTCCTAGTTAGGATCGGGTACATAGACACCTCAGTCAAGTATCTGATCATATCTGAGCCTGTTGTTTTCTCTACTGACCCATTATCTCAATGGTTTGTACAGATGAAGCATGATCATTTAAGTAGAAACAAATCCTCAAGCTGAAATTTCAAGTCCAATTAAAATGCACTGTAGGGACTTCTGATTCCTTGTCATTTCAATTAACCTGAGAAAGCATCAGCTCAGGTAAGATTCCTGATTAAAATGCAAGAGATCCCTGGCCTTCAAATCAGCACTTTTTGTTTATTTCTC